GATGCATGCGGCTGCCCCCCATTTTCTGTGGCCGTTTGCATTTCGGTACGCGGCGCATCAGATCAACCTTCAGCCCAGGGTCTCCAGGCCGGAGACCTCCCCAGCTTTGCTGTGGACGGGGAAGGTTGGCGATGCGTCTGCGTTCCGTGTCTGGGGATCTCGGGCGTTTGTCCGCCACTTGTCTGCGGACAAGCTGTCCCCTCGTGCTGCTCCTTGCGTCTTCCTTGGCTTCCCCCCTGACGCGCCAGGGTGGCAGTTCTACCACCCCACCTCTCGCCGTGTTCTGTCCTCCCAGGACGTCACGTTTGACGAGTCGGTCCCCTACTACCGCCTCTTCCCCTACCGCACTCCGTCCCTCCCCCCGCCACCGCTCTTCCTTGTGCCAGGTCCCCCCCCGGTAGACCCCCTCCCCACTCATGGTCCTGCCCCTTCAGGTGTGTCCCAGGTAGACGCAGTCGAGCCTGTCGAGGTCACTGGTGACTCTGGTGCTGCTGAGGGTGCTGAGCATGGGGTTGCTGACTCTGGGGGTGCTGAGCGTGTGGGTGCTACGCCTGGGGGTGTTGAGCCTGAGGGTTCTACTACGGGGGGTGCTGAGCCTGGGGGTGCTTCCGGTGGAGGTGCTGAGCCTGGGGGTGCTGAGCCTGGGGGTGCTGAGCCTGGGGGGGCTACGCCTGGAGGTGCTGAGCCTGGGGGTGCTGGGCCTGGGGGTGCTACGCCTGGAGGTGCTGAGCCTGGGGGTGCGGAGCCTGCGGGAGCTGGGCCTGCTCGTGTGGCGTCTGGCGGTGCTGGGCCTGGAGGTTCTCCGGGTACTTCGTCTCGGCGGGAGCCACTCTCTCCACAAGAGCTAAGCGAGTGGTTTGCCCGGCGCTGGAGGCGTGCAGCTGGAGCTGGAGGTTCTTCGGCTGTTGAGGGTGCTGGTCCCGTGGGTCCCGGAGGTGCTCGTACTGGGAGTACTGAAGCTGGTGGGCCTGCGAGTACGAGATGCTGAGGGTGTTGGCGCTGAGGCTACTGTTGTCGGTCCTGGAGGCGGTCCTGCTGGGGGTACTACTGGTGCTGCTGGAGGTACTGGAGTTGGAGGTGCTGCTGTCGCTGGTGCTGCCGCTGAGGGTACTTGTGCTGTCCCTACTGTGTCTAGAGTCGCCGCGCGGCCTCGGCCGTACTTCGTTCCGCTCCTTCAGCAGGTTCTTGGTCTCCCGCCTTCTACTGGTCCTCCTCCTCCCTTAGAGTTTCCACAGCCTGTCCCGTCACAGTTACAGTTACAGCCTGCCTCCCCACTGCCTACTCCTTCTCCCTACACTGGTCCTACTGGAGGTCTTGCTGAGCGTCGTGAGCCTGCGTCTCGTCCTGCGTCGCCTGTCCGTGCTGCTCGCACTAGTGGTCGTGGTTCGCGTCAGCGTCCTCCTAATGTCCCTGGCACGCACCGGATGTCTCTGTGTCCGTCCACTTCTCCTCTGCGTGCCCCTTTGCCTTCTTCTCCTGAGTCCTCTCTTCCTGCTCTTGCCGACCCGGAGTCAGACTCTCTTCGTGCTGCCAGTCCTACTGTCACGCGTCTCCTTGCTACTGTCGTCAGTGACCCTTCCTTTGAGTCCAGTGCTGCGTCTGCCCTAGTTGCTGAGCTCGTCGACTTCGCCGCTCGCTGTGGTCTAGACTACGCTGCTAGTCTTGTCGCTGAGTTTGAGTCTGTCTGTCCTTCATCCGTCGGGGGTGAGTGTGCCCTTGGCACGGACGTCCTTGAGGACAGGCAGGAGGAGTTCCTGTGTCTCGCTGCTGCTTCACCTCATCTCGTGTCCGTACTGCTTACCCCTGAGGGAGACCCGGATGCACTAGACATCCCGACTCCGCGCTCTTACGCGGAGGCCGTAGAGGGTCCCTACTCCTCTCAGTGGCAGGCAACTATGGACACAGAGATGGCTTCCTTGAAGTCCAGAGGCACCTACGTTGACGAGGTTCCCCCGCCTGGGGCGAACATCGTCAGTGGCATGTAGGATTTTTAGGGTGAAGCGGCCGCCGGGTTCTCCGCCTGTCTTCAAGGCGCGTTACGTGGCTCGTGGCTTCGATCAGCGGCAGGGAGTTGACTACATTCAGACCTTCTCTCCCACCCCGAAGATGACCACTCTTTGGGTACTGCTACACATAGCTGCTCACCGCGACTACGAGCTGCACTCTCTTGACTTCAGCACTGCTTTCTTGCAGGGTAGCCTGCACGAGGAGATCTGGCTGCGTCGCCCACCTTGCTTCACTGGGTCTTTTTCTCCTGGCACCCTGTGGAGCCTCCGGCGGCCAGTCTACGGTCTCCGCCAGGCACCGCGTGAGTGGCACGACACACTGAGGACTACACTTGCGGCTCTTGGGTTTGCTCCCTCTACTGCCGACCCGTCGCTGTTTCTGCGCACCGACACTTCTTTGCCGCCGTTCTACATCCTCGTGTACGTCGACGACTTGGTCTTTGCCACAGCTGACACTGCTGGACTCGCCCACGTGAAGTCCGAGCTGCAGAAGAGACACACGCGCACTGACCTGGGTGAACTGCGCAGCTACCTTGGCTTGCAGATCACCCGGGACAGAGCACGCCGCACCATTACCCTGACTCAGTCACACATGGTGCAGCAGGTCCTTCAGCGCTTCAGCTCCACGTACTCCTCGCCTCAGGCCACTCCTCTGCCTACTCGCCACTCGCTCTCAGCTCTGCCTTTTGGATGAGTCCGTAGAGTCGAGTGGCCCGTACCCAGAGCTTGTTGGCTGCCTCATGTACCTGATGACCTGCACACGACCTGACCTTGCATACCCTCTTAGCATTCTCGCACGCTATGTTGCTCCTGGGAGACATAGACCGGAGCACATGGCTGCAGCGAAGAGGGTGTTGCGCTACTTGTGCAGTACGTCGGGCATGGGGCTAGTGCTTGGAGGGCAGAGTCTAGTGGTCCTCACTGGGCATGCAGACGCTTCTTGGGCTGACGACCAGGCTACGCAGCGGTCGTCACAGGGTTACACCTTCAGCCTTGGTTCCGGCTCTGTTTCGTGGCGGGCTACTCGCTCGTCTTCTGTTCTCGGCTCGAGTTGTGAGGCTGAGATCTACGCAAGAGCCATGGCTGCACAGGAGCTTCGCTGGCTCACCTACCTGCTGACTGACCTCGGAGAGCCGCCTCGTTCTCCTCCAGTGCTGTACGTAGACAACAAGGCCATGCTGGCCTTGTGTCGGGAGCAGAGACTGGAGCACAGAACGAAGCACATTGCTCTTCGCTACTTCCTTGCTCGTGAGCTACAGCAGCGTGGTCAGCTGCGTCTTGCGTACGTGGCCTCTGAGGCCAACACTGCTGATATCTTCACCAAGGTGCTTGCGCCCTGTGATCATCAGCGCTTCTGTACTCAGCTGGGTCTTGTGCCTGCCTTGCCTCACTTGCTCACCTCTTGACCTTGCTTGTACTATTACATATATATATACACCTGCTCTTGCTTGTGTAGCCTTATATATATATATAAATATATATATATATGTATATATATATGTACTCCTGCATGTGAACTGGCCTTGTGGCCTTGAACTTGTGCTCGGAATGTGTGGTGACTTTGTGATCCACCCTGAGCTTGCTTTGCTTTGCTTTGCTTGACTGGTCTTGTGACCCCTTGTTCTCCCCCACTTTGCCTATGGGGGTGTGTTAGAACATTATAGCTTATACATTTGTGTAGGCTGTAGTGGGGTAGCCCACATGGGGTACAGCCCAATTAGGGTTAGTACTTGTACCCAACTGTTTCATAGTTCAATCATTCCTTGTTTCTTCTCACCGACCACCACTCCTTGAATTTCAGTAGTTAAGTCCTCTTGTGGCGCAAACCTTGACGGTAATGGCTACTCTTTGTGGAATTGGAACAATCCAGGGTTTAGGGTTTAGGGTTTAGGGTTCATTAGAAGGAGGAGGTCTCGCTGCAACAACTGTTGGGTAAGCAAAGCTAGGCTTTCTTTGCTTCCTTTGGTTTGTGTTGTACACTGCATGGGTTACCTTTTATAGCCCCGGCATGATCATTCTAGTACTTCTTCTCATATTTACAATTAGACCTCGGCGATGGTTTGTGTCAGATTCGTCTTCCATTGGCCCAGAAGCTCGCGTGAACGACGAAACTTCAACATCTGGTAGTGCCCATGGGTTATGATCAGCAAACTCAGTGGTTGAATCATTGTTGTTGGCAAAGTTTCCATCATTGAATGCAGCCACTTCACCTCAACGGCGAAGCCAAAGGCTCGAAGGTGACACCTGGACTAGCATGATAGGGATTAGTGTTACTTGGACACATGGATCATAATATATTTGTGTGCATATGCAACAAAATACTGAAAAATCTGTGTTATGAATTGAACTAGAGCTGAATTGCTATACCCCTGGTCTAATGCTGAAATTTCGTGTGATGATAAATTGGGCCTGTTGTTTGTACATCTGTCATTTATACTTTTATCACCAACTTGAACCTATGGTAGTCATAATAAAACACTGTCAGAACATTATAGCTTATATATTTGTGTAGGCTATAGTGGGATATCCCATAGGGGGTACAACCCAATCAGGGTTTCCTATATGTACTCACTTCATTCATAGTTCATTCATTCTCGTTCTAGTTTCTTTCACATGGTTTCAGAGCGGTTACGCTCTCGGCCTGTGGGTACTACTGCTTCCGCTGCTACATGCTCTGTCGCACGCCCCGTGGCGTGCGACGCATTAGGCGCGCGGCGATTTGCTACTTTGGCGCGCGCCTCGGGGCGCGCGGCCTCTTTCTTTTCTGGCGCGCCGCCCGTCCCGGCCCCTAGCCGCCCGTGCGCCGCCCGTCCTGGCCCCTAACCGTACGTGCGCCGCCCGTCCCGGCCCTTAGACGCCCGCGCGCCGCCCGTCCCGGCCCTTAGACGCCCGCGCGCCGCCTGTCCCGGCCCTTAGCCGCCCGTCCTGGCCCCTAGCCGCCCGCGCGCCGCCCGTCCTGGCCCCTAGCCGCCCGCGCGCCGCCTGTCCCGGCCCTTAGCCGCCCGCGCGCCGCCTGTCCCGACCGCGCGCCGCTGCTCCAGCCCGTCGACGCCCGTGAGCCGCCCGTCCCGGCCCCACGCCGCCCGTGCGCCGCCCGTCCCGGCCCCGCGCCGTCGTCCCGGCCCCCACTCCGCCCGTGCGCCGCCCGTCCTGGCCCCACGCCGCCCGTGCGCCGCCCGTTCCGGCAGCGCGCCGCCGTCCCGGCCCCACGCCGCACGTGCACCGCACGTCCCGGCCCCACGCCGCCCGTGCACCGCCCGTCCCGGCCCCGCGCAGCTGCCCCGGCCCGTCGCCTGCTGCATTGCCGAGCCGCCCCCCCCACCGAGCCGCCGAGCAGCCAAGCAGCCGAGCCGTAGCCGAGCCGCTGAGCAGCCCAGCAGCCGAACCGCAGAGCAGCCGAGCCGCCCTTAGACGCCCGCGCGCCGCCCGTCCCGGCCCTTAGACGCCCGCGCGCCGCCTGTCCCGGCCCTTAGCCGCCCGTCCTGGCCCCTAGCCGCCCGCGCGCCGCCCGTCCTGGCCCCTAGCCGCCCGCGCGCCGCCTGTCCCGGCCCTTAGCCGCCCGCGCGCCGCCCGTCCCGACCGCGCGCCGCTGCTCCAGCCCGATCGACGCCCGTGAGCCGCCCGTCCCGGCCCCACGCCGCCCGTGCGCCGCCCGTCCCGGCCCCGCGCCGTCGTCCCGGCCCCCACTCCGCCCGTGCGCCGCCCGTCCTGGCCCCACGCCGCCCGTGCGCCGCCCGTTCCTGGCAGCGCGCCGCCGTCCCGGCCCCACGCCGCACGTGCACCGCACGTCCCGGCCCCACGCCGCCCGTGCACCGCCCGTCCCGGCCCCGCGCAGCTGCCCCGGCCCGTCGCCTGCTGCATTGCCGAGCCGCCCCCCCCACCGAGCCGTCGAGCAGCCCAGCAGCCGAGCCGTAGCCGAGCCGCTGAGCAGCCCAGCAGCCGAACCGCAGAGCAGCCGAGCCGCCCGAGCCGCCCGAGCCGCCCGAGCCGGCCCGAGCCGGCCGAGCCGCCCGAGCCACCCGAGCCGCCGAGCCGCCAGAGCCGCCCGAGTCGCCCGAGCAGCCGAGCCGCCCGAGTCGCCCGAGCCGCCGAGCCGCAGTTACTGCAGTGCCGCCGTGCCGCCGAGTTGCGAGTCGCCGAGTCGTCGAGCCTGCTCTTCCCACCACTAGTGAGCCCCTGCCTTCCTTACTGCTGCTACTCCTGCTCCTGCTTCTACTGGCGGCGGCCAGATGCAGCTCCAGCGACGCCCACGCGCGTCTCTCACGCCCCAGCAGCTTCGTGAGTGGTACGCTCAGAGTAGAGGGTCTCTCAGTTCTGTTCGCTGCTCTTACGTGATTCGCACTGGTGCTCGGACTGGTCAGCCTTGTGGGACGCCTAGTCATACACCGTCCCGCTGCTTCGCCCGTCTGAACGACGCCTGGCGTACCGAGTTTGGCGACGAGGCTGAGCTCCCCGACTAGGTGGAGTTGCTTAGGCAGAGGGTAGATATATTTGCTCTTGACTATGATGCTCTTCTCACTGCCATGTATGCATTGCCTACTAGTGCTGACCGTGCCGGTCACCTGTCCGTACCGCCTGACCCGGGTATAGAGCCTGCTGCTCTAGCTGCTGGTGCGGCTGCTGCTCTGGGTGCTAGTGTGTCTCCTGCTCCAGGTACAGGTGCGGCTGCTGCTCTAGGTGCTAGTGATTCTGCTTCCTCAGGTGCGGGTGAGTCTGCTCTCTCAGGTACCGCGTCGGCTCCGGCCTCTCACACCTTCACCCTTGACTCGGGGGCTTTCCGCTCCTTCTTTCGAGACCGCACCACACTCACGCCGCTTGGTTGGCCAGTTGCAGTCTCTCTGGCAGACCCCTCTGGGGGCCCTGTCCTTGCTCACTTCTCCACTGTCCTCCCGTGTCCGGCGGCCCCCTCTGGCACCCTGTCTGGTCTTTACCTCCCCTCGTTCTCTACGAATTTGGTGAGTGGTGCTGACCTGCAGGATGCGGGGGTTCACAAGTTCACTCCTGCGAGTCAGCGGGTGACCCACTGCACAGACGCTCGGACAGGCCGACACCTGGCCACGTTTACTCGTCGGCCGGGGTCGAGCCTGTACACACTGACCACTGCGTCTCCTCCAGTTACTGAGTCTGGTAGGGTAGCTGCGTCGAGTCAAGTGTTTGCTGCAGCGTCCAGGTCTGGTCCTGAGTCTGCCCCCTGTTCGTGTCGTCTCCTGTCTCACGAGACTCTCCTCTGGCACCACCGCCTTGGTCACCCCTCTCTGCTTCGGCTTAGAGGCATGGCCTCTCGTCTTCTTGTTTCTAGTCTCCCCCGGTCCCTCCCTCCCCTTCCTCAGGGCCCTGGCCCTACCTGTGTCCCCTGTGTCGAGGGGCGCCAGCGTGCTGCCCCTCACTCCTCCCAGTTTCCTCCGACAGAGGCCCCGTTGCAGACGATTCACATGGACGTGTGGGGCCCAGCCCGCGTTCGTGGACAGGGTCACGAGCGCTACTTCCTGCTAGTTGTTGACGACTACTCGCGTTACACCGCAGTCTTCCCCTTGCGCAGCAAGGGTGATGTCACTGAGGTGCTGATCGACTGGATCCGCGCAGCTTGTCTCCAGCTCAGGCAGAGCTTTGGCTCGGACTTTCCTGTTCTGCGTCTACACTCGGACAGAGGCGGAGAGTTTTCCTCTGGCCTTCTGAGAGCCTACTGTCGCGCACGGGGCATCCGTCAGACCTTCACGCTTCCGGACTCTCCGCAGCAAAATGGGATTGCTGAGCGCCGCATTGGCATGGTCATGGACGTCGCTCGTACGTCTATGATGCATGCAGCTGCCCCCCATTTTCTGTGGCCGTTTGCGGTGAGGTACGCGGCGCATCAGATCAACCTTCACCCCAGGGTCTCCAGGCCGGAGACCTCCCCAGCCTTGCTGTGGACGGGGAAGGTTGGCGATGCGTCGGCGTTCCGGGTCTGGGGATCTCGGGCGTTTGTCCGCGACTTGTCTGCGGACAAACTGTCCCCTCGTGCTGCTCCTTGCGTCTTCCTGGGGTTCCCCCCTGACGCGCCTGGGTGGCATTTCTACCACCCCACCTCTCGCCGTGTTGTGTCCTCCCAGGACGTCACGTTTGACGAGTCGGTCCCCTACTACTGCCTCTTCCCCTACCGCACTCCGTCCCTGCCCCCGCCCCCGCTCTTCCTTGTACCAGGTCCCCCCCAGGTAGACCCCCTCCCCCCTCAGGGTCCTGCCCCTTCAGGTGTGTCCCAGGTAGACGCAGTCGAGCCTGTCGAGGTCACTGGTGACTGTGGTGCTGCTGAGGGTGCTGAGCCTAAGGGTACTGAGCCTGGGGGTGCTGAGCCTGGGGGTGCTACGCCTGGGGGTGCTTTGCCTGGGGGTGCCGGGCCTGGGGGTGCTGAGCCTGGAGGTGCTCCGCCTGGAGGTTCTCCGGGTGCTTCGTCTCGCAGGGAGCCACTCTCTCCACAGGAGCTGCGCGAGTGGTTTGCCCGGCACTGGAGCCGTGCTGCTGGTGCTGGAGGTTCTTCGGCTACTGGGGGTGCTGAGCCTAGGGGTGCTGAGCCTGGGGGTGTTGAGCCTGGGGGTGCTACGCCTGGGGGTTCTGGGCCTGGGGGTGCTGGCCCTAGGGGGTGCTGAGCCTGGGGGTGCTGCGCCTGGGGGTGCTTTGCCTGGGGGTGCTGGACCTGGGGGTGCTGTGCCTGGAGGTGCTCCGCCTGGAGGTTCTCCGGGTGCTTCCTCTCGCCGGGAGCCACTCTCTCCACAGGAGCTGCGCGAGTGGTTTGCCCGGCGCTGGAGCCGTGCTGCTGGTGCTGGAGGTTCGTCGGCTACTGAGGGTGCTGCTGTCGCGGGTCCCGGAGGTGCTCGTCCTGGGAGTACTGGAGCTGCTGGGCCTGCAGGTTCGACTGGAGCTGGTGCTGCTGAGGGTGTTGGCACTGAGACTACCACTGGCGGTCCTGCTGGGGGTGCTCCTGGTGCTGCTGGAGGTTCTGGAGCTGCTGGAGGTGCTGCTGGGGATTCTAGAGCTGCTGGAGGTGCTGCTGGAGGTGCTGGAGCTACTGGAGGTGCTGCTGGAGCGGGTACTCCTGCTGAGGGTCCTGGTGCTGTCCCTGCTGTTTCTAGCGTCGCCACGCGGCCTCGACCGTACTTCGTTCCACTCCTGCAGCAGGTTCTTGGTCTTACACCTTCTACTGGTCCTCCTCCTCCTCCCTTAGAGGGTCCACAGCCTGTCCAGTCACAGTCACAGCTACAGCCTGCCTCCCCTTTGCCTACGCCTTCTCCCTACGCTGGTCCTACTGGAGGTCTTACTGAGCGTCGTGAGCCTGCATCTCGTCCTGCGTCGCCTGTTCGTGCTGCGCGCGCTAGTGGTCGCGGTTCGCGTCAGCGTCCTCCTCCTGTCCCTGGCACGCACCGGATGTCTCTGCGTCCGTCCACTGCTCCTCTGCGTGCCCCTTTGCCTTCTCCTCCTGCGTCCTCTCTTCCTGCTCTTGCCGACCCGAAGTCGGACTCTCTTCGTGCTGCCAGTCCTACTGTCACGCGTCTCCTTGCTACTGCCATCACTGACCCTTCTTTCGAGTCTACTGCTGCGTCTGCCCTTGTTGCTGAGCTCGTCGACTTTGCTGCTCGTTGTCCCCTAGACTACGCTGCGAGTCTTGTCGCTGAGTCTGAGTCTGTCTGTCCTCCGTCCGTCGGGGGTGAGTGTGCCCTTGGCACGGACGTCCTTGAGGATAGGCAGGAGGAGTTCCAGTGTCTGGCCGCTGCTTCACCTCATCTCGTGTCTTATTGCTTACCCCTGAGGGAGACCCGGATGCACTTGACATCCCGACTCCGCGCTCTTACGCGGAGGCGATAGAGGGTCCCTACTCCTCTCAGTGGCAGGCAGCTATGGATGCAGAGATGGCTTCCTGGAAGTCCACAGGCACCTACGTTGACGCTGTCCCCCCTCGTGGGGCGAACATTGTCAGTGGCATGTGGATCTTCAGGGTGAAGCGGCCGCCGGGTTCTCCGCCTGTCTTCAAGGCGCGTTACGTGGCTCGTGGCTTCAGTCAGCGGCAGGGAGTTGACTACTTTCAGACCTTCTCCCCTACCCCGAAGATGACCACTCTTCGGGTACTGCTGCATATTGCTGCTCACCGTGACTACGAGCTGCACTCTCTCGACTTCAGCACTGCTTTCTTGCAGGGCAGCCTGCACGAGGAGATCTGGCTGCGCCGCCCACCTGGCTTCACTGGGTCGTTCCCTTCTGGTACCCAGTGGAGTCTCCGGCGTCCAGTCTACGGTCTCCGCCAGGCGCCACGTGAGTGGCACGACACACTGAGGACTACACTTGCGGCACTTGGGTTTGCTCCTTCTACTGCCGACCCGTCGCTGTTTCTGCGCACCGACACCTCTCTGCCGCCGTTCTACATCCTCGTGTACGTCGACGACTTGGTCTTTGCCACAGCTGACACTACTGGACTCGCCTACGTGAAGTCCGAGCTGCAGAAGAGACACACGTGCACTGACCTGGGTGAACTGCGCAGCTACCTTGGCTTGCAGATCAGCCGGGACAGAGCACGCCGCACCATTACCCTGACTCAGTCACACATGGTGCAGCAGGTCCTTCAGCGCTTCGGCTTCACGTACTCCTCGCCTCAGGCCACTCCTCTGCCTAATCGCCACTCGCTCTCAGCTCTACCTTCGGATGAGTCCGTAGAGTCGAGTGGCCCGTATGCAGAGCTTGTTGGCTGCCTCATGTACCTGATGACCTGCACACGACCTGACCTTGCATACCCTCTTAGCATTCTCGCACGCTATGTTGCTCCTGGGAGACACCGACCAGAGCACATGGCTGCAGCGAAGAGGGTGTTGCGCTACTTGTGCAGTACGTCGGGCATG